TTGGCCACCACTGCTGCAGCAGTAGCTGCAGACCCTGCGCCGGGCCCGGAGCCTCTCCGGAGGAGGAGACAAAGACGCGAGCTAGGCAAAAAGCCGCTCACCCAGAAGCAGTCGGCTCAGTTGCTAGAGAGGAATCCTCTCCAAACCCGAGCTGGGGATGCGGGAGGAGGGGCGAGGCGGCTGGGAACCAGAAAAGCAGCAGGGAACGAACGTGACTGTCAGAGCCCTGCCTAGCCGGCGCTGCTCGCCAGCCTCCCAGTTGGGGGGTCCGGAATGGAGAGAGCGGGCGGGGGCTGAGCCTCGGCTGCGGGGGGAAATGAGCCGAGGTAGGAGTACCAGCTCCCTCGCGGCTCTTCCCTTCCCCCTGGAACAGCTCCGCTTGCAGGCTGCTGGAGCCCACAGTCTTTCTCTGTTTTTGGAACTACTGAGATGAGTGTTGACTTAAGCTGGTAAAAGAAGCCTAACGTGGAGATGGGGTTGACCACCCTCGATGAAGAAAAAACAGATCTTTCAAACTGTTGCTACTGGGTGCCAAAGATGGTGCCTGGGTTATCCTGGGGTGGAATGAATGAGGTGGACACGCCCCTTCGCCCCAAAGGCCCCATTGTTAGATCCCACACTGAATCCCCCACCCCCCACCCCGCAGCTCATGAAGACCAACGTTTTGAGCTGTGGCCCTTGACACATCCCCAACACGCAGCAGAAATGGGGTCGCCCCCTTAAGAAAGTGTGTGGTGTTTGTGTGTGTGAGTTTTAAGATTAAAGCAGATTATTGTTCCTAGTGATGGTCCTACATCATGGTTTTAATTATTATCAGATTTGCTCTAGAAACCAATTCGGGGCACAGTAACCCAACTCTTCTGCCTCTACAAATATCTCCTTGCTAAAGATCTTTTCAACTCCCTCCCACCCCCACCTTAGGAAGAATTAATCTTCCCCCTTCTCTCTGCTGTCACTGAGTTTTATTTGCAATCACTTGCAGAACTTAGCTATTTATAGATTTCTAGCACTTCACTTACCTAAGAGTATTCTTTATAAGTGTGTGTGGTGTGTGCACGTGTGCACACCACGCACACAGTGCCCACTGCAACATCCAGCAGGGATTTATATCTAACTGGTACCCAAGGAGTTCCTATCCAGTCGAAGGTCATTTTCTCCTTCAAGAAAAGCTAAATCCCTATGGCCCTAGTATTAAAAGGACTGGGACCATGGCTCTTTGAAGAGTTTCTAGAGGAGGGCACCCAGTCCCTCCGCTGCAACTGTATAGGTCATTTATTTTTGTTTCTAGAAACCATCTCCCATTGACCACCTCACCTCTGTTTGCTGTATTCCCACAGGCAGGAGAAAACCAGGCTTTTGAGCAACTGCATTGAGCAAGAGAGCGAGATTCAGCTGCCAGCACTTAGAGCAAACCCTTCCAGGTGGAGAATGACCAAAAAATCTTTATCATTCCGTGACCCGTGTCAAGCTGGTTGAAAGCCTGCCAAAGGTTCCTCATGTCCAATGAGGCCCTCTTATTCTTAATGCATTTTAGAACAGTTTGAGCAGTGTTTATTGCCGAGAAGTAAAGAAATCTGGTTTATAGTTCAGGGATCTTTCACAAAATTACAGAATTGCTAGTCCAGATTAGGAATGCTCTCTGATAAAGGTCCATAGTGCAAGAGATTAGACTAAATGGCTCCTATGGTATCTTCTAGGTTTTGGTGGTACTGTGATTGGAAAGGTTATGGTGAAGTTCTATTGCTTGATTTTAGTTTTGTTTGTCAAAAGAGATTTTCTTTTTTTTTTTTCTTTTTTTTTTTTTGAGAGGTTTTTGCTATAGGGCGCGTGCGCTCCCCAGACAGACAGAGAGAGACAGAGAGACAGAAAGCAGGAAATCACCCCCCAGGGGGGATGGCCACGCCGCAATCCCTTCTCCTCCATTCTCCTCTCGGGATCTTTGGCACGCACGCACACGCGCCCGGCGTGAGTTTAAGCCACCGGGTCCAGGACTCGAACCGCGGTCGACTACGTGGGAGTCCAGCGACATAGCCATTACGCTAACTGCTGGTCCCTGTCAAAAGAGATTTTAGGACCCAGACATAGGTACGTAGAGCCAGTGGGTTGGTAATTTGATGTAATTTTTCTGAAGAGAAATTTGGCATTATTATTGAAAGCGTAAAGTTTGATGCCTGGGGCCAGCAGGTAGCACAGTGGTTAAGTTGCTGGACTCCTACATGGCCAACCATGGTTTGAGTCCCAGACGTGGCAGCTTGAAAATCATGCTGGGCACATGTGTGTGTGTGCCCAAAATCCCGAGAGGAGAATGGAGGAGAAGGGATTGCAACCTGGACATCCCAGGAGGGTGATTTCTCCCTTTTCCTCTCTCTGACGAGTACACATGCCTGATGGCAAAAATCTATTTAAAAAAAAGAAAGAAAGAAAGAAAGAAAGAAAGAAAGAAAGAAAGAAAGAAAGAAAGAAAGAAAGAAAGAAAGAGAAAGAAAGAAAGAAGAAAGAAAGATAGGAAAGAAAAAAAAAGTTTCATGCCATCATCCCAATGACTCTACTTTGAAGAATTCACCCTCAGGAAGTAATTAAGGATGTAGGACAAAACCTGTCTACGAGGATATTCGTTGCAGTCCTGGTTACACTAGTGGAAGACTGAAACAAAACAAAATTCAAATGTCTAACAAGAAAGCCATGTTGGGAACCAGCAGTTAGCATAATGGCTATGTCACAGGACTCCCACATAGTCGACCGCGGTTCGTGTCCCGGACCCGGTGGCTTAAAACTCACACTGGGTGCGTGTGCGTGCGTGCCCAAGATCCCGAGAGGAGAATGGAGGAGAAGGGATTGCGGCGTGACCATCCCCCCTGGGGGGGTGATTTCTCGCTTTCTGTCTCTATGTCTCTCTCTGTCTGTCTGGCGAGCGCATGTGCCCTGTAGCAAAAATCCTCTCAAAAAAAAAAAAAAAGAAAAGCCATGTTGAAATATTTTGTAGATCTGTACAGAGAACTATTAGTCAGACATTAAACTGTTGCTGTAGGTGCATAAGTGAATGATGTCATGAATGATGATTATAATAATATTTTAGTTAAAAAGTTTAGATGCATGAGATGTACAAACTTTTAATTTCTTTAAATAATAATTTATTTTATTTTATTTTTCATTCATTTTAATTTAACAGACACACACACACACACACACACACACACACACACGCACGGGGGATGGGAGAGTGAGAAAGCCAGCTTCCAGGTCCAGAACTTGAACCGTGGTTGGCCATATAGGAGTGTCCAACACCTTAACCACCATGCCATCTGCCAGCCCCAAGGTTTTAATTTCAAAAATTAAAATCTAGTTTAAAAGAACTGATTTGAAACTAAGCATTGGACCAGCGCCTTCAATCAACTGTAATCAGGTTATTTACCTTGTCGTATAGTTGAGTTTGAATGAAATAGTATTACGAAGCACTTAAGAACAGTGCCTACTACTAAAATCCTAATATGGTTTTCTTTGGTAATTATTAACTGTATCAAGTAAATTTGAGGCATAATATGTCTTCTGAAAAAAATATCCACTCACACACTCAAGTCTACAGTAATACATATACTCCAATATTAACAATTTATCCCTGTTGATGGCAAGATTTTAGGATTTCTTTAAAGATTTTTATATAGCAATTATAAAATAAAATAGTATATGAATGAGCAATGCAATTTGCATTTAATTCAAGTGTATTTTAATGATAACAACAAAATATTTCCAACTACTGGCATGTGAAACCTCCAGATCATGGATACTTTCTGTTTTAGTTGATTCATCAACAAGTCATTAACATGACCTGCCGACCACTGGTGTCTCACATGCTATGCAAAGGACAAGCGATAGGGCATGGAGTTTGTCATCTCTGATATAAATCGATTATGTCTTTTATAGTTACCAACAGTCAAGCCCAACTCAGCAAAATATGCTGTTTAATATGAAGAACTGATTAGCTGTTACCTCTGCCTTATCTTGACAGACAACTGAAAAAAAAAAAAAAAGGAAGAAAGGAGGCACGGGAAGCTCTATTTGTAACTTTTGATTAGTGAACTAGAGAAGGGAGCCTAGCATGCAAGGGTTATGACCCTCTCATCTTCAGTAGTGAACTCTCTAGGTCAGAAATAGATTTTTTGGTGGAAGTTGTCGGCAAATATTACAAATGTTATAGGCATACAGAGG